TCAGATGGGTACCCAGCCATTGAGGCAAGACTGAAAAGTTCGTAAATTTCAATCTCCAGGCTAGTTAAAACAAGAATAGTCATATTCTCATAACCCAACCTACTTGATTTTAATTAGCAGCTTGACTATAGTAGCTCCATTTTATTTCTAAACTCTGTGCCAAACTCTTAAGCAACAGATGCAGGGTTCAGAAGCCTCTTTCGGGTCGCCAGGGACACACAACATTGCAGGCAGGGGCTCAGGCGGAACCTTCCTCCTCAGCTTCCTGTTTCCCACGACTCGGCTTCTATTGCTATACAACCAAGTCAAAGGCCTTCCCTCACCCGGTGGCCTATCCCGACAACGGGTTCCGAAGGTGTGACTAGTAATTGCAACCAAACGATTAACGGACACCCCAACGACTTAAGACAGTTTCTCCAAGTAGCGCCTCCCGGGCGCGTCCCAGCAGTACTCCTTAACGCGTGACGTGCAACAGCGGACAGCGCACATTAGCCCCACTAACGCAGAACGCAGCCGGACGCGTGCTCGGGCGCATGCTCACGGGCGCGTGCTCGCGCGCACGCCGCCCGCGCTCACGTCGCCCCGCCCCTGCCGCTCACCGCTCCCTCCCCTGGACCTGCTGGCGGCTGCGCTTCTCCCAGACCCCGGAGCGGTTGGAGGGGCCCTAGGCGACCCTGAGCGCACAATTAGCCCCGGGAAATCAGAGGAAACTGGAGCAGCGGAGGAGAGCAGCGGAGGGTAGCAGAGCCTACCCTGCACGCTGAGGGGGGGAAATGGGAAGGAGACAGAGTTAGGTGAGGGAGCGCGGAGTAAGTGAGCTGGGGTCGGACTGCAGCTCCGGCTCGGGACCCAGACTGGTCGGCCAGGCCCCCTAGCCGGTGTTACACCCGATCTGAAGAGGGCAGAGCGGACACATGGCCTCTCCCTTCCTGCCCGTGGGGGCCACCACTGGCGACAGTGGCGGAGAGCTGAGCTCGGGAGACGACTCCGGTGATGTGGAATCCCTCCAGACCCCCGAGACCGAGGCTTCCAGGAGCCTGACAGAGCTGTTTGAGAAGGCTGCAGCACACCTCCAGGGCCTGATTCACGTGGCCAGCAGGGAGCAGCTCTTGTATCTGTATGCCAGGTACAAGCAGGTAAAGTCGCAGGGAGAGGGTGGATGTGAGAGTGGCCAGAGGCTTCTTTCCAAGAAAAACTAATAGTAACTGTGCTTGGTTAATGGCTACTAATGAAGCGAGAGTGTGTGTGTGTGTTCTGTTTGTTTTGTTTTTAATCTGCCCTGAATGACTAGCATTCTGGACATGGAAAGGACCAGTCTGCTATCTAGGAGTGATGTTTAGCTGGACACCAAATGGCAGTTTTTCTGTGTCTTCTCTGACTTGCTCAGTGACCTTGCACTTTTGTTTTTACCAGCTTCATAACCTTTGTAAAATGAGGATGACAAAATAAGATTTCTCATTCACTCTTGCCAGAGGGTCCTATGGATGTAAATATGGTAATGTTAAAACAATATTTTGAGATCCAATAGAATAATGATTGTAATACAAAAGAACAATATGATTGCAATACAAAAGAAAGTATTACTACTTTTATTATTTAATTTTTTTAACTCTAAATATCATAGTCTCGTACTTTGACTGAATCCACTTCTGTCTGTTAGATACAATTATAAAAATTTTAAAGCTAGTAAAGACCAGATGAAATAATGTCCATCTTTAATGGAAAAGGAAAGGGATGCCCAAAGAGAGTAGATAACTTGCCTAGGGTCATACAGATAAATCAGTCAGAATTAAAACTAGCTTGTAGCTGCGGACTCTGTCTAAGACTCGGAACTTTACCTGGAAATATGGAAATAAAAATAATAATGTCATATAAGATTTAATTTATCATTCAAAGAGGCATTGGGTACACTTTTGTGTGCAAAATACTTGGATGTTATGCTTACAGGGAATGTAAAGAAGCAAAAGCATCATGATACTTGCCTTGAAGAGACTTACAAAGATAATTGAGGTGTCTAGATGTAAACATTGAATAATTGCTGACATAGTTAAGTAACAGTTCAGGAAAACTAGCTGTTTGAAATACTGGAAGCAATGAAGTGTTAGATAATAGACCATTTTATTAAAATTTTAAAACTCTTCTTTTGCCTCTTGGTATTTATTTCCCCCTGTATTCTTTAAAAAAAAAGAAATAGTTGTGAGGTTCTTCTGTATTCAACTGAAAATATTGAATACAGATGAATCTTCTTTTGAGGATTGATGAATATCAGTTAAAGTGACCTGAGAGATATAGTCATAGGTACAAATGGTATAAATCATTGTATTGAATGAAAATTGCCACTGTATTGGCCTTGGAATTTGCTTTCTTTCAAAAGTTCTAGGTATCTATTTTCTCTTTGGTCATTTACCCTGTCCTAATAACATTAAAATGAGACTTGATTATTTAACAAGAATTTTTTGAATATTGTGGTAGGGCCTGTTACGTGTACCACTGGTGATTTTTCTGGGCAGTAGCAGACTAATTTTCTCCAAATTCCCTAGAGAAAATTCTTTTTCTTTCTAGGACTTTATTTATCGATATCAGTGTCATCATTATTAAATATCTGATTTCCAAAGCAGTGAACTCCAGTCACCTGTCATTTGGCATTCATTCTCTCCCAGATATACCCACTTGATCCAAATAGTCTGGAAGAAGCGTATCCCTCACCCTTTCAAGAACTTGACATTAGGGTGTTTAGAAATATTCTGTATCTGGAAAATAAAATTCTTCATTATTAGAGAATAAGAATCTGCTTACTTAGATATGACATCAGGACACGGTTTTCATCAATTTCTTCTATATATTATTTTTAACAGAATTCTGAAAGTGTTAAAAATAGTGTCTTTGATAGAATAATAAAGTTGAAAGCCCAATATAATTTTTGTAGGCTGAATGAAGTAAGCTTGTCAGCAGAAAAATGATAAAAGTATGCTGAGATCTGAATTTATTTCTCTCAAGCAGAGCCCTAAAGTTACCTGACATAAAAGCTGATTTAGTCTCAGATAACTCTGTGACTTCAAAATTATCTTTTTTCAAAAAGATCATACCAATTAAATTTGTTTTGTTTTTTTTTTCTTTTTGGTCCTCTGAGCATTAGCCTACCTTCTCCCAGCAAAAGGTAATTGATCCTGGTGAAAACTATAGGACAATGAAAATTTCAAACTCCTGTTGGCTTCATTTTATGGGAACCTTCCGCACTAGCACAAGTGAAGCTACTCAGCTTGTCCTGCTTTACCCTGGGTTCATTCGATTCACTGGCGTTTGCCATTGGCAACCTTTGTTGAAATAATCCATTCCAAAGACACTGGATATATACATACATACATACATACATACATATATATGTATATCAGAGAACAGAATTTAGGTGCTCTGTTAAAGTGGTACATTTTATAACTCTGCTTTATAACTTACGATTCATTATCTAGTGATTTGGAAACTTGCTCACGATGTCCTAAAATTCCCGTAGTTTTATTTCCCAGTCTTTTCTGGATCCAGAGCTATTCTTTGAATTCGAGAATACAAAAGCTTTGCGTCAGTTGGAATACAGGGTCAGCTGCTGAATGTTTATTTTCAGCTCACATAATGGTGTGGAAGTAGGCGATCTCAGTCTGGTAGGGTGTTCTGCTTCATGAGATCATCCAGGGGCTTAGTCCTTTTTCTATCTTGTAGCTCAGCCATTCCCTAAGGCAGCAGTTCTCAAATTATCTACAGACCCCAGAGAATTGCTGAGACTTTCTCAGGGGATCTACAAGGTCAAGCTATTTTCAAAATAGTACTAAGATACTATTTGCCTTTTTTCTATGCTGTCTGGTAGATAAAACTGCTGATGCATTGGTATGAATCAAGGCACTGGCAGTAAACTGTACTAGTAATCATATTTCTCTACCACCATGTACTCAGAGTAAAAAAAAAAAAGCCAGTTTTACTTAAAAATGTCTTTGATGAAGCAGTAAAGATCACTGATTTTTATTAAATATTAACTCTTGAGTATAAGTCTTTTTAATATTGTGTTTGATGAAATTAGGGGTACATACTAAGTATTTCTGCTGCATACTGAGTTAGGTCGGGTATTTTGAGGAAAAACCCTTGTGTAATTTTTGAGTTGCAAGCTGTGCTATCCACTTTTTTTATTAAACATTATTTTCACTTGATAGAACAACTCACAGATAAACTATGCTTTTTTGGATTTGAGTACTTGGCAGAGAGTTTCTTGAAAATGAATGAAATGAGCCTGTCATTTTAAGGAAAACAACTGACAATATTTGTTGCTTATGATAAATAATATTTGAGCCTTCAAGCAAAAATTAGAAGTTTGGAAAATCTGTATCTGCCAAGTGAGTTTGACAGCTTCCTAATACTTAAACACTTTTTTGATGAGATTGATGATGACTTTAATGGTAATGAATTTTTGCTATTGTGTAATGGAACATGTCAACATTCGAAAGGTCTGCATAAGTCAGTGAACCATATTTTCCAAATATTGCATGGAATGATGTTACAAATTATGTGTGAGTTAAAAATCCATTGAGTGGAAGTCAGACCAATAAATTTTAATGTTAACAGTATGAAAATTTTATTGTTTTTAGTTCAGATTCCAGATTGCAACTAACTTCAAAGAAGCTGCCACATGTTGAGTTTTGGTGTGGTATCAAAAAAGAATATCCCAAATTATCTGAAAATGCTACTAAAATACTTTTTTTTCCTATAGCATATCTGTGTGAAGCTGAATTTTCTTCATGTACTTCAGCCAAAGCAACACATTGCAATAGATTGAATGTAGAAGTAGACATAAGAATATACTAAGGCAGATGTTAGAGATTTGCAAAATGTAAAGCAGTGTCACTTTTTTCACTAATATTTTTTGCTTTAGACTATTTTTCATAAAATTTTGTTATTTATGTTAACATGAGTTTATTATTTTTAAATTAACACATATTTTAAAATGTCTTTTAGTTTTTAATACAGTAAATATTAATAGGTATAGCCCACATAAACAAAAGTTCTTTGGGGTCCTCAGTGTCTAAGAGTGTGAAGGGTTCATAAGACCAAAAAGTTGGAGATCTGCTGCCCTAAGATCCCCTTTCCACGGCCAAAGATGGTTCACCATCGCCACAAGCATGTTTTAGCCATGGCAAAGGGAAAGGGAAGGACAAGCCCTTCTTTCTTTTTAAGAAAGATGTTTATATCACTTTCACACACATTCAGTGCCCTGAGCCTTGGCAGAAGTTACATGGCCACATATAATGTTCAGGTGGATGGCCATGTGACCCGGCTGAGATTTCTACTACTGTAGGAAAAATGAAGAATAGATATTAGTATTTGTTTCTGCCATTGTCTGGTGTCTGGTTAAAAAAACAGAAATAGTAATCATTGCTATTTTTATGATGACTAATAGTTAACTTCATTTCATATTTCTATCAGTCCAGTAGTTCAGGTGACTTTGGAGGTACCAGAACTGAAGCCTAGATTCTGCATGACATGTAAAACTGAATGTTATAGTAAAAGAATTTGGGGCTGTGGAGTCAAACCAGTCCTGGATTCAAATCCTGACTGCTGATTAGGATTTACTAAAGTGTGAACTGTGACAACCCTCCTCAGCTTTTCTATACTCATTTATGAAAGAGATTTGTAATGGCAAACCTAAGAGGTTTGTTTTGTGACTCATTTGACATAACATAGGTGAAGCTTTTGTTCAGCAAAAGCAGCTCCTGCTCTCTCCCTCCCATGTCCCGTCATAAAAGGGCTGCTTCTGTATAAGCGTACATTTTAATAACGACCAGATTAATTGTGATTAATTGCTAAGCAAATGATAGAGATGATCATTGTTACGATTTCAGACATGGATGGGATTATTGTGTACTGACAGGGTTCTTAGGATCTGAACCTTGAGTAGGAGGTGTAGCATTTTGAAAAGATGAGAAGAGAAATGAAGGCATTTTAGGTGAGGGGAATAACACTGAGCAAAACTCAGAATAAAAATCCCTACGACAGTGAGTAGACCAATCTGGTTAGTGAGTAGATCATCAGTTTGATTTTAGCAAAATTCAAGTGTGTAAGAATAATGCGATGCAGTGCAAAGGTCCCCAAGAAGTAGATCGCGGTCAGATAGAGGTCTTTAGCATTAGGGAAAGCAGGTATTTTGTTGAACACATGCCTAACATATTCTATATTCAACAAACTTTTTACTACTTTGAGTTGGGCACTGTATTAGGTGCAATGATTGAGTTAAAAATAGTTTCTCAAAGGCTGTGTTCTAATAGGAAGATGAGACTTTATACTTTTGGAGGTACTTTTCTGCACAAAGTAAAAATGATATCATAGGTTGTATTATACAGAGTTTATCAAAAAGAGAGATTACGTCTGGTGGTGGGAACCAGGGGCTGTATAGGAATTCTGCGCTTGTGCATTTGTGTGAATTTCATTTATGCTTATTCACGGTGTAGATAATTACTGTATAATTAGATTAGAAGTAACAAGAAATTATTATGGAATAGATAGAATTTATATATATTGTTAAGCAACCCTTGGAATTTTTCTGCACAGCTTTCAACATTTAAATTTATATTGATTACTTTCATAATAGGGCACTTTCAAAGTAGTGTGTTTAGGGAAGATGAAATGCTGATAGTGTTATGAGACTCAGCATAAAAAAATGAATTTCAATAAACTATAAAGCTTGTTTATTGCATGTTTAAAAATTCTACGTAAATGGTAATAAGGATTGCATAATCTACATTTATAATTTGTCATATATAATTTGTCTATTAACTTAGGAATGCAACTGTTTATCACTCCTGTTTTTAAATGTATTATGGTATTAGATAACAGTTGTTTTATGCAGTAAGTCAGAGTAGCCTGAATTTCAAGTTTGGTTTTTTGTTTGCCTTTGTAAAAAATGTTAAAATTTGTTATTCTGTACAGATGTAAATATTTTCTAATATGTAGTTATTAAGCATGCATAATAAATACAAAAATAAAAAAGTTTCTCTGGAATTTCATGAAAAATAAATTCTGGATTTCTCTCCCACCCTTCATTTAGGTCAAAGTTGGAAATTGCAATACTGCTAAACCAAGCTTCTTCGATTTTGAAGGAAAACAAAAATGGTAAGACATTCTTAGAATCTAATGAAGTTGTTGGAAATGGTTTAGGTGTTCAGGAATTAGAGTAGTGAGCAGATTAAAGAATTATTTTTATATTAATCCCTCCGCTGTAGACTGCTGAGGGCAGGCGATTGAGAGAGATTAAAAGCGGATTCTGCTTTCAGCTAAGTCTCCTAAAGGATTCTCATGCCATGGTGTTTGTACGTAGTTCACAACAGATGTACATTCCTTTCATAAGAATAGCTTCTTGGAGAGTGACCATAAGAGCTGTTGCTGGAGATTTTCCGTACCCAACATACAGTCCCTAGTGGGTCACCACTTCTCCCTCTGAGGGGTCTTTGGAAGAAGGCCAGGAGGACAGGAAAGGAGAAGAGCAGGGTAAATCCCCATTTCTTACTGTTCTCCCTGCCTTGATGTCACATCCTCTTCCCTAGTGCTCTTGCGTCTCTTGCCCCACCCCACCACAGTCAAGACGTGCTTATCATAACCTCTTGGGAAGAAGGAAAAGAAATCGGGTGCTGAGTCCACTTCTTTCCTGAATACATAAAGATTATGCTCTCCCCAATTTTTTACTTATGATTCAGAGGTTCTCTCTTATCATATGAAGGTTTACCTACTCTAAGTGAGAAGAAGAGAAATTACACACAGTTAGAAACCTTAGTTATAGCAGGAAGCACTTTGAAGCATCAGCCCAGAATTAAATATATAGAGGGTAGGGTTTTTAAAAAAATGAAATATGGTCAGAGAGAAGTGTTAAAAATGGATTCCAACTTTACGTTCTAGAGCAGTGCTGTTCAAAATGTGGTCCCCTGGACAAGTTGCCTATCTGTGAACTGTTTGTTACTAAGCTGCAAGGAGATGCAGAGCTTGAACCGGATGTAAATCAGCTATGGCATTAAGTGCACTGTTTAGTTCAACTGACGTGTGTGTATGTCGGGCATTCTCTGAAGAAAGCAGTGTTTTGATTTTCATTCTGGCACGAGCTTTCTTTGCCAATGATAACGAGTAGTTCTCTGACTGGCACTTTATTACCGTTGTAGAGAATACCTGACATAACTTATTATAAGTGAGTTTTGTTTCTAGAATTTCATAACTTCACCAATTTTTTGGCTATAGTTGCCTGTTTTTTCATTTCTTAAAATGATTTACTAAGTTTAGATTTTACAACCATTATAATAATAATTCAGGCAAGAATCATCATTGGATGCTAAAACCATGAGATGAAAAGCTACTGGGGAACAATATTTATGCAGTTGAACCCACAGGTTGCTTATTAATCACAAAGAAGAAAGTGGGAGAGACCATTTTTACCAAGTTGTCTATCTTATTAATGATGGGACAAACTGATAACATGTGCCTCCTGACATGATGCTTTGTAAGGGATATGTCACCCATATTTTGCTCTTAACAAAATGTTTAACATGATTCTTATCATGATGAATTGTTTTTGGGATGAAACACTGTAGTTGAAGAAACAATCAGACAAATGCAAATTGAGGAATATTTTATAAACAATTGGTTTGGACTCTTAAAAATTGAGTATCATGGAAGACAAAAAAAGGCTAAAAATACATGAAACTCCGTGCTGTGTGTGAATCTTGATTGACTCCTGGTCTGGTAGAAGAGCTTATAAAGGATATTGAGAAATCAGGGAAATCTGAATGTCTGCTATACATTTACATAATAGTAATGATGTTAAATTTTCTCACTTTGATATATGCTGTTATATTTAGGGATAAAGTTTTAGGATGTAAACCAGGAACTCTCAAGAGAGTCAATAAAAATAAATTAGGAATCCTCAGAGTTATATTCATCCTAGGAGCAAGAAGGTAGAAAAAACTGTGGGATTGAGTTCTGTTTTACAGTGGATCAGTGGATCTTTTTCCTGGTTGGAAGCAGAAAATAATGGTAGGGAAAAACTGAGAAGGAGCTTGTCCTGGCAGCTTGCAGAAAAGAAGAAAAGGATGACTTAGAAGGAGACTCAGGACTGAAATATTACTCTTGGTATTTATACTACAGGAAGTCCCTACCTTCTTACTCAGTATTATTGCTGTCCTTACCAGCCCTCATTTTTGAAGTCCTTCCCTGAGGCTTCAGGATCCACTACTAGCAGCTTATAGACTAGATAACAGCAGAAGAGGAAGTTGTATTTCTCACAACTTAAATAAAAATTTTTTCAGGGAATATTGTTTTGTGTGATGATTAGTTTCCATATTACCAAAATGCCATAAGCACAATTAATTCATAAGTTGGGAACTACTTTTATTGGTAGGGATGAAAGTTGGGTTTGGGGGAGTTATAAAATTTTAGATATTACAGTGTGGTTCATGGTCTTCAAAAATTCAACAGATACACGTTATTTCTGGATTATTAAAATTTCATGGGGGAGGGTGATTAGGAAAAAGACATCTAAAAAGGCTCCTCACTTGGGGTGATGAGGTCTGTATGGCTGTAGACCAATGTGAATGCAAAAAGAGGGGTTACTCATCTATGACTTATTATACCTATATCCCCAGACCTGTAAAATGTATATGTCAATTTATTTAATAATGAAAAGAAATATGCAGTTTGCGTTACTCACAGTTAACGATGGGTCATTTTGGATATTCTAGGGAAGCGTGGAAAGCGCTTGGTGATTCAAGCCCGAGCCAGGCAATGCAGGAGTATATTGCAGCAGTTAAAAAATTAGATCCAGGTTGGAATCCCCAGGTAAGACTTAATGGTTATCAATAATACCTCCCAAACACATATCCTCTTTGTCTCAAATAAATGTTTAAAACTTAACTTAGGCTTAAGTAATATTCTTAAAGTTTTATTTTCTCAAATCAAAAGAATATAAACTTACTGTCATTTATCCATCCAAAATACTTTGCTTAAATTTTAACGCAACCAGCTACTGATACTGAGGACATCTCTGAATTGTAGAGAATTTTAAAAAACATAACAGTAATTTCAATCATGTAAAAACGTTTCCAAATTTGAAAGAGTTTAACATGAGATCATTATTATCTTTAGAAATGGTAGGTTTCTCTTTTTTTTATGACCACTTGTGCAAGTACAAAATGCTTATTGATAGAGATAAGATTTGAATAAGACATGCCTTTTGCTTGCATGTAGTTTAAAGTATATTAGAGAAGATAAAACATACTAAAATATGATAATATTATAAAACAATAACAAACTGCTGGGGGGTCCAGCTTTGGACTTTGAGGGCATTGGATGTTGTTCACTTAAATGTACACTCTTTTTCTAGTATACGTATTGGAGAACATCTAGAAAGAATTTAATAAAGGTGGGGTTGCTATTTTATTAAAAAAAATGTTTTAAATCATGATTGACAGATGTTTCAGTGGGGTAAAAGCTGGATCAGTACGATGTCAAAAATATAAAGTGAATCTGTTCTTTTCAATAAAAATATTCGGGCCAAACTTTTCAGTGGTAAATGAATTCAGCAGTTTTGAATGCTTTTAGTGATTAGTTATTTCATGGGTATGTATTTATTATCAGTATGGAAGAATTTTGTTCCATGAATCATAGAATCTTAAAATGGCAGAGTTGTGAGGAACCTTTAAGATTCTCTATCATGACATATAAAAATGTGTCTTAAATATGAGTACAAAGGGGTGGAGATGACCAATCTAGGATATCTTCAGTGACGTGACTGCCTTGTGGAAGTCATTGAAACATTTCCTGATGTTTTTGATGTGCATGAGTATTCATTCTTAGAAGTATTCCATTTTATTAATATCTTTTACAAAACATCAAGTTTGCATACAACTACACATCAGAAACCTTCTAGAAACTTAAAATCTGAAATTCAGTGGTCAAAACAGGTTCCCCTCCAAGCTGAACTCAGCCTGAACACGTGGCACAGTGTTTGAAAAAACAAAGCAAAACTTGAATTTGAACACCTTTAGGTGACTACCTAGCCGTCAGGTGCAGTCGCTGTGGTCTCGCTTCCTCCCTATTGATTTTCGCTCAGCTGTTTGCGATGCCTGACCTACGGAGGCATTTGAGTTTATAACTTCCGATAAATGACAAAATTTATGATTTCTTACCTTAATTACTGAGTAAAATGCTGTTAACTCTGACTCTTATAAATGCTTGCAGAGTCCATGTGGTTAGGTAGTTCTTCCTTATGGAAATCCAGACCGGCATTGAGGATGCTTTTTAAAAATATCTAAATCTTCCCTATTGAACGTAAACTTGAGTAAACTAAGGAGAACCACGGGCACTTTCAAATAAAGATCATTCTTCAGTACATTATTCTAAAAATATTTTAACATCATAATCTAGTTGTAAAGAGGTATTGTATTTCATTAACATTTTAATTTTTACATTAAACACCCTGAGCCGATTGATCCCCTTTGACTCAGACTTTTTTCCTCCTTGTTTTTGACTGGTATGGGCAGATCATAACCTCAGTCTCCAGAGATTTGGTATTCAGTTCATTATCTTTTAGGTTAAAGAGTCATTTATAAAACAATAACAGCTCATATGCTGAATGTGCTATTGTCCTTTGAAATTTTCACAAAACTTAATTAGAAACAATTGTCTGCATTTTAAGAATGAGAAAATTTAGGCACAGAAAGGTTTAGTACCTTGCCAGCTGGTAATGGTGGTGCTGGGATTTGGACCTATGTTTGTATAAGTCCAGAGGCCCCCGTCTTAACTTAACCACTCTGTTCTCTAGCTGACATTTCACATGTATATCGTGTAAGCTTATGTGCACATATATGTATAAAAAATTCAAGTAAAGGTAGTTCCTTTTTTAATCAAAGCTAGATGGTACCTTCAAGTGTAAAATGAACAACGCTTTTTAAAATGCAACCCTTTGACTATGTTTTCTGTTATATTTCATCTTAAGAATGTTTTGAATGTCTAATGTAATCAAGGCAATTTTTTTTTTTTGGAGGATAGGGTGAGTTTTTATTTTGGTATTTTTATTTTTATTATTTTTGACAAATAAAAATTGTATCTATTTAGTGTCTTCATACTGATATATGTATTGTGAAATGATTAACACAGACTATATTCTTCATCCCTCATAGTTCATAGTTATCATGGTTTTTTCTTTTTTTGTGTGTGTGGTGATAACAGGATCTATTCTCAGCAGATATCAAGTTTACAATACATTATTATTAACTAATGAATACCTGACCTTTTTTTAAGTTTCAAGAATAGTACAAGGAACTTCTGGATGGCCTTTGTCTAGGTACACCAATTGTTTACATTTGCTTTAGCATTCTGTTTACACACACACACATATAAATACAATTTTTTCTGAACCATTTAGGTAAGTTGGAGACATCATGTGCCTTTACTACTAAATACTTCAATTTTCCTAAGAACAAGAACCTTCTCTTATATTACTACACCATAATTACCAAAATTGGGAATTTTTTCTTTAGTGTCCTAAATTCTTTTGAAAAAAATTTTTTTAGAGCCCATGGGCTTAGCGTCCCTGCAGGGTATTTATATATTTATGTATCTATTATATATAAATTTAAAAAATAAAAATTACATATACATAAGGTATACAACATGATGATGTGATATACATATATACGCATAGTGAATTATTACTACAGTCAAGCTAATATGTCCTCACACAGCTACCAGTTTTTTGTGATGAGAGCACCTGATATTTACTTTCTTAGTATATTTCAAGTATTCAATACAGTATTATCAATTGTAGTCATTATGCCTGTGCATTAGATCTCTAGATTTATTCATCCTACATAACCAAGAGTTTGTACCCTTTGACCAGCATCTCCCCATTCCCTCCCCTACGCCCCATCGCCTGGTAAACACCATTCTAGTCTCTGATTCTGTGAGTTTGACTTTCTAATTTTTTAGGCTCTATGTACAAGAGAGATCATATAACTTTTATCTTTCCACGCCTGTCATAGCGTAATGTCCTCCAGGTTCATCCATGTTGTCACAAATGGCAGGATTTCCTTCTTTTTCATAGCCGAATAATAATCCAGTGTGCGTGTGCGTGTGCGTGTGCATCCATAGATGAACATTTAGTTTGTTTCCATATCTTGGCTGTTGTGAATAATGCTATATGGGAGTGTAGCTATCTCTTCAAGATCCTGACTTTATTTCCAGAAGTGGGATTGCTGGATCATATAGAAATTCTATTTTTAATTCTCACCAACACTGTACAATGGTTCTATTTCTCAAAGTCAAATTTTAACATCGATTTAATATTATCATCAAATCCATAGTCCATGTTCAAATCTATTTATCTAAAATTGTCCTTCTTAGTTATTTTTTGAAAATTCTGATCCATCTTCCAATCCAGGATCATGCACTGCTTTTAGTTGTCATGTCTCTTTAGTCTCCTTTAAATTGGAACAGTTTCTCAGCCTGTCTTCTTTTTTCTTGACCATGATATTTTGAAGAATATAGGCCAGTTATTTTGTAGACTGTCCCTCAGTTTGGGTTTGTCTAATGTTTCCTCATAATTAGATTCAGATTATACATTTTTAGGAGGAATACCACAGAATTGTGTCCCTCTCAGTGCATTACGCCAGGAGAAACATGATATCTATTTGCCCTGATATGTGCACTTGGTTATGTGAACTTTGATCACTTGCCTAAGGTGGTGTCTGCCAGATTTCTGTAGTGTAAATTTCCTGTTTTCCCTTTGAATTAAATAATTTGTGGGGAGATACTTTGAGACTATATAAGTATCCTTTTCCTAATCAGATTTCATCCACTAGTTTTAATATCCATTAATGATTTTCTAACTCCATCATTTCTTCTTCATTTATTAGTTAACATTCCACTGTGAAGATGGGCTTTCCCTTCTCTCCCATTTATTTATTTATTCATTCATTGTTGAGAACTGTGAAAGGTCTAGGGTTGTACCTTACTTGCAAGTTAATAAGTTAATAAGTTAGACGATTACTGTTTCTTAGACGCTGCCAGAGGTGCAAGATGTCATGGCAAACTGCATAAGCTGCATTTGATTCGCATTGGGTTCTCGTGTGTCTTAAGTCCCCCAGGATAACACAGGTGGGCCTAGATGGATTCCTGCATATGCAGTGCTCCAGGGAGGGAGCATTGAGCTTTGGGGATTCACCACTTTCAAAACAGGTGGAAACAAGCCTGCTCTTTGTCAGTGGCTGGGAAGACACTACCTCATCCCTGAAGATCGCTTAACCCTGAGAAATGGCCCAGCTAAGGAGTGGTCACAGCCTGGCATAGTGAATGAGAATGTGTAGGGACACTCAAGGCTGTTGGTTGATTGCCTCTTCCAATATTCATCTATTTATATCAGTATTATTCCTAGATTTCTCTCTTATTCAACGTGTTGTAATCCATTATCAACATTATTTAATTGGCCACTGGGAGTGCCTTAGAGATGACTTCTGTGTCCTTTCGATATGTCTCCATTCTTTAGCATTTTCTTACTTTCTGGCACAAGATGTTTCAGGCTATGTTAGTTTCCTATGGTTGACTTGGCTAACTATCACAAACTGGTATTTTGTAGTTTAAAACAGCAGAAATATATTCTCTGGCAGTTCTGGAGGCTAGAGGTCTGAAATCAAGGTGTTAGCAGAGCCATGTTCTCTTTGTAGGCTCTTGGGAAGAATCTTTCTTTGCCTCCATCAGCTTCTGGTCGCCTCAGGTATCAGGTATTTCTTAGCTTTTGGCAGCATAACTCCAGTCTCTGTCTCCATCTTCACATGGCTTTC